AGTCCTACTTAACAAGTATTAAATTGGCTGCTTCAAGAGCCTAGCCTGATAATCAGACTGAATGGATTTTGACTCGTCCTGCGTTAAAAGTCAGGACAAATACATATTAAAGGAAACAGAAAGGTAACGATAATGTTTGAGAAGTTCATTCTCTTGCATTGCTGGTCTTTTGTCTTGTATATTTTGTGGTGCTGAACGGAGAACGATCATTTCAAATGCATTCTAAAGGATAAGTCAAATTAGACTGTTCTTATTGTCATCAAATCCCACTAAAATACCAAAACCAATGATGTGTTAGTCCTGCTCTCAACAGTAATACAATAATATAGTAAAACTATAGACATTTTACTAAAAAGTAAAAGGTTGTTTTTTTCTTAAACCCCTTATGTCCTTGTACACAGGATAGAAAAAAACAACTTTTTTCACAGTCACATAAAAGTCTGTCCCCCCCTGCAGTAGCATTAAACCTAACAGTCTCTAGGGCTAATGGTAATGTTCCTGAACACAACTGTGCACATAAGGAGCTGTGTCTTTTGTTTAAGTTATACTACACATACATTCTACACTGCAGCTATTCTTTATGCGACAATACATTCGTAATTTTCATTTATACCATATATCAGCAGACCATTTTTTTAATACATGAGAAACATTTTACTCCTGGTCCCCTGAATATAATATAAATGAAGGACAAACTGTTCAAATAAAATAAGGATGTTAACTCCATAACAATGTCAAATGTCCCAATTAAATATCTTTTTAGTAAATCTCTGATCAGACAGCTTCATAAGTCTTCTCCAAAGCCGAAGCATTTGACATTTGTGTCTGATGTTCTCCACTAAAGGTAGTTGGCATCTGCTGATTTTACACCTGATTTGCCCAACCATTGAACTTCAGATGCAACTTCCTGTCCTTGATCAGGTGCAGACACTATTTGTATAAATTTATATTCCCTCCTCCTGTATTTTTGCTTCCAAATAAGAACACCTTACATATTGCATGAGCCAAAACACACAATTTATAAATATTTAGCTATTCTGTCTTTCTTACGTTGGACTGGCACAAAACCTTGGTATGGTCCTTTAGTCAATATGGTTAAAGGCATTTGGATTATTTAGCACCCCAAAGAGCTGAAAGTGCCAGAAAAGAAACATGGATTTTGTGAATTCATATTTTAAAACAAAATGTAGCATTTTGCTTTGAACTGCTGTAGGTCCTTGTCCACTGAAGGATATTTTCAAGCACACATTCAAACACATTCATTTTTTTCATAATGTGACTGGATTGTCAAATGTTACCAGGCTGCGAGCAACAGACAGCTAATCAATACCCTGTGCCACTTTCACTTTATCTGTCATTCAATATGACAATATGTCAGATTTTTCAAATAGGCACATCTCACATTGGAATGAAACTCTTTTCAGAGCAGGCGCTTCACACTGCGCTCCCCCAACAGCAGATGTGTTGACAGCAGAGATGATGAACGATACGAGGACAAAAGCTGACAGATGTGATAAATACAACGTCGAATGGCTAATCAATCTCATGTGGGTAGAAGGAAACGGAGGAAAAACAGCAGCAGGGATCTCCTGGTCTGATTGGCAGCGAGTACGCGGGTGCGTGTGTCCGCAAATCGCATGTGTGCATGCGTAGCCTTTGTGTGTGAAGCCTTTTCTTGGTCTCTCATGCCTGACCTTGTCTTTATGAACCAAAATGAACAGCAAGCAGTGTGTGTGTGTGTGTGTGTGTGTGTGTGTGTGTGTGTGTGTGTGTGTGTGTGTGTGTGTGTGTGTGTGTGTGCATTGGCCAAAACTCCATAAAAATACATCCCTGCCTCCTTTTTACAGTCTGGTTACAAACTCTGGCAGAAGCCAAAACATATTGAAAAATTACACACTGCAGAAACAAGCATGAAAGAAGTGACAAATGAGTGGCTTAAAAAATAATAATAACTTCACCATGGTGCAGGAGCATGAAATATAACGACTCCAGCTTGTAGAGGAAGAAGAAGGGAGGTGGAGGAGAGAGTGAGCGTCTGTCTATTCGTCTTCACTTTCCTCAAATAGCTGACACTCCGTCTTCTCCTCTGCAGCCTTTTTCGTTTTACACAGTCTCACCAGAAGGCCATTACCATGCCCTAGATCATCTGAGTGCATCTGCACTTGACCTGTGTGTGTGTGTGTGTGTGTGTGTGTGTGTGTGTGTGTGTGTGTGTGTGTGTGTGTCCAAGTCAACATGACCTACTTAGACTCTGCATGGACTTCCAGAACATTATAGTATCCTCACAGCAAGGTTTCAGTCTAAAACATGCAGAAGCCATTATTTTCTCTACTCTCAGCATTTTCACCGGCTATCTTTAGCATCTGCATTTCAGAGTACATTTCCTCACATCCTATAGTACTCAAGGACGCACGCAGTGTCCACGGTATCAAGTATCTACTCGAACTGTGCACCCACACGCTGTATGCACAAATACACACTGCCACATCTTCTCAGACCAGTTCCAGACAGAGCCAGCATTCAAAGCGCTTCTATCTAGCACTAAAAGAGCGCTCCACAGATTTAAGATCAAACTGCATGTAGCAGGACCAGAGACATTGTCTTTTTTTATTCCACGCATTCTTATAACTTGGCAAAACCCGACGCCTACATTGACCACAATACAACTTGACTGCAGACAGTTTGGTTGGAGTTACGCAAACAGCGGTTAATGTAGCTTGGAGCCGAGCAGAGATGAGAAGCGGGCTACAGGTGGGTCTGGTAAGCTCCCGTCTTTCTAACTCCACACCCCCATCTTCAAACTCGTAGTCATCTGATGCTGTGTCAGAATATTTCATACAGCTCCCTCTGAAGCCACCAAAGGCTTTATACAGCTTCTTTCACATATGCAGTTGCACTCCCCATGGCCCGTAAACACACTTTGATGTGTAAAATGGATGGTGATGGCGCTGTGCTTTAAGTTTAAACACATAATGAGATCTCACACTAACATCACATTTAATCTGCTCTATATTTACTGTATGTTGATTGGTAGTAATCTTATGGGAGAATAAGCTGATTGTAGTGAAGTAGTTTTGAAATACACTGGTAGTGTGGCTTTGGGGTAGGCATTGCTGGTGCTACAGTCCATCTGTTCAACACTTTGGTCCAGATTAAAATATCTGGACAACTTCTGCATGGATTAACATACAAACACATACACAAATGGTCCTCAGAGGCTAAACCCAAATGATTTTGGTGATCCCCTTACTAGTACCACCAACAGCAGCTCAGATTTTAAATTTTTCCATTGAGATTTTCCAATTCTCATCAGCAAAGTTACTCTCTTAGGTGTTAAATCTTGGATTTGGGCATACAAGACTTAGTCATCAGCAAAACTAGTGAGTTCAGACTTTAAAAGAATACAGCAGCAAGGATTCACTCTTACCTCTTATGCAGCACTTTAATGCTTCTTACATATATAATTATCTTGCCTGGTCAAGAAATTTGAGTTTTAAAAGTAAAACTGGACAAAACAACACAACCACTTCACTATCTGATTCATCAGTAACTCACTCTCACTTTCAGGCAGATGGAGTAACTGTAGTTTAGCTTTAAATTAATGCACTTCATCTGCTTTCAAACCATAAATGAACTCCACCAAATCAGTGTTTGTTTAACCTGAACCAAACAAGTAAGCCGAAAACCTTAATAAATTAATAAATTCCCTTTTCAGTTTATTAATTACCCACATCTCAACTTATTTAGCAGAATTTCAAATATATCTGGCGCTGCTCTCAGGAGTGGCTATTTCCTCAGATGGAGAAATAATCAATCCAATGAGAGCTTTTCTGTGTGAGACTAGTTGGTTGGTTAAAAAACATCTGGAGACCAGCGGGAAATCTTGTTAGGGGTTACCTCCAGTGGTTGAATTTCTCACTTTTATCAAATATGTCATGAAGAAATGTGCTCCAGTGTGCAGGGTGTAAAACACTGACTGCTTTTCAGACTGGCATTAAATTCATTTTTAAGTTGGTGACATATGAAACTGTGTCAGATTCTGACAAGACAGGTCGGTGCATCTTGAATGTCCGAATTAACTGCTTATCTGGGGTGCTAATGGGTCATAATATACTGCATCTGCCTCTTTCTACTCTGTCCCAAAGCTTCTCTCATAGAGCCAATCTACCGCTCTCTGGTGTACTGTCTCAAGTGAGGCAAAAAAATGTGTGTTTAAAGCCTGATAATGTAATACAGATGCAATATTTTAAATGCTTTTAACATACAGATGGGCGACAATTTAAAGGAAAATCCAACACAAACCCTGTACCCTGTCCTGTATAATAGCATTTGCATTTGTCATGTTTCTCCACTCATTCATTTAGGTTTTTCCTTTAATTTTTCACCCGTCTGTAAGGGGACAGCGCACATTATACACATTAGGAACAATCTGTCAGTATGAGTCAAAACAGTAATAAAATAAAAGACATGTAGCAGTCAAAAATGAAAGAGAGGCTAAAAACAGGTGAAAACATCAAGACAGATTCTGGCAGAGTCATGAATATTCTAACCTTCATAAATACATAATAAAAACCAAACACAAAGTCTGGCTCTGCAGCCTAATGTCACTGACAAAAAAAATCAAGGTGTGGGCTTTGTCTTTTCCCTTTACTGTCATACACAGTATCTCCATCAAAGCTGCCCAGACTTTGACAAAATATAGGGAAATGATGCATCCCACCACATTAGAGCATTTTCAAAATTACACTGAGAGGGTGTTGCCCGGGGCTCTCTGCAAACAGATCAAAATATGGTGACACATGTGTGACACATTATCTCAGATGGGCATTCCATCATTTGTGTTTGCTGTTTGCTGTCACCCTGTCTTACCCTGAGAGGACGGGAGGAATTATCCCCACTACTTTCTGGTGTTCATATTTCATTAATTGTGACAACCCTTTCACACACACACACACACACACACACACACACACACACCTACACACACTAAGAGTTCTAACCTGTTCCTTGACGGAGGCGAGGATGGCGGAGGTGGTTTCAGACTCGGAGCCGTCTCCGTTGGAGGCGTTGAGGACGGGGCTCAACATGGTGGCAGCGCTGGCAGTGTCAGACGCCACCTCAGGCACTGGCATACCTCCTGGAAAAAAAGGGAACATTGCAAGTCTTTTACCATTATTAAAGACACTCTGACATGCCAGTGTTTAGGCTGAGTGGCTGTCACACCTACACTCTCCTACACTTGTACTCAGGGACAACTGTACACACAGATACGGACATTAGAGCAAAGGCAGAGGTGAAGAGAGACACACACACATGTCCAAGTACACATTCAATATTGATACAGTGGGATGACAGATCACTGATGAATCAGCCTTCTATTGGACTAAATTTGATTCCACTGCAACACTTTGATCGGTTTTGATTTATGTGTTCAGCTATGATTAATTACGCTTTTCTTTTTTCATTTTCTGACTTATCCCAGCATGCATTTGGCAAAGGGCAGTGACACATCCTGGATAGGTGCACTTGTACAATTTGGAACAGGAAATCTAGGCCAGTGAGAAGAAAGTGTGCAGACTCCACAGAGATCTGGTCAGATTCAGTGGTACTACTAGCAGCAGGGCAGTACTGTAACAACAGTGCTAGGATTGGTAGATGTATAGTAGTACCATTAAAAACTGCTAGTACAAGATGAAAACATTTTTTACTCCTGATTACATTGATACCAACAGGGGTATTGCCAGTCCTCGTGACAACAGAGGGGTATGTTTTGAAATGTACTAAAAAGTTACACATCTGGCACACATTTGTGACAAAGGGTGTTCATGTACAAAAAGCATTGCTCTCCAAAAGACACTAATTATTTCAAAAATGCTACTTTTAGCAGTGCCACCACCAGTAGGAATAGCAGTAATAATAGTAGTTACTACTGCTACTATTACCTTTTTGCTGGTATAATAAAGTAGTCCAATCATGGCATCTTTTGGCAGACAACCTGAAATTTAAAACCCAAGGCTGGCAATATGCTATAATTTTGTTTCTGTTAGCAATTTTAATGAAAAGTTGAAACCAACAATGTGTTAGTTGGTGTCCCTACTGTCTGTGGCTCTTAGCCAGGAGCTCCTGCTGAAGATCTTTAAAAAAGCACATCACAAATATGATATATATACTTTCATTTTTCAAAGAAATGCTAATAACGTCTTTCAAACAGCTGGGCCTTACTCAAACAGGAGTAAATAGTGCACTTGTTGGGGTATATTTTCAGCAGCAGACTAATACACATTTGGTGCTCTAGTGAGTATTTGGGGCTGCAGGTCCGCATATGTCGGATTGAGTCAAAATAAACTACAGTGTGTGTGTTAAATGAAGACAGAAGGAGAAGTTAATGTAGTCAATTAAGACTTCAGATATGCACATACATAGTTTTAAATAATCAATATACTTATATTACCATATGTGAGCCATGGGTGATTTTCACATCATAGAATGAAATATGATTTTTCTTTTCTTTTATAATGTTTTTTGGGCTTTTATTGCCTTTAATGGATAGTGACAGCTGAAGAGTGACAGGAAATGGGGGAGAGAGGAGATTACAGTAAAGTGCCACAGGTCAAATTCGAACCCTGGGTCGCTGCAGCAAGGACTCAGCCTTGATACATGGGGCTAAGCATGTGTGAACCACAGAAACACAGATTTTATGCATGTGTGGACTACTGAAATAATTGCATTTATCAATTTCACAACAGCACAAAGCACGCCTTATGAACAACTTAATTCCCTAAAAGGCTGTAAGTGTTTAAAGGACCATTACACACACACACACACACACACACACACACACACAACACGCACGCTTGCATGCTTGATGCCATGTGTCATCCTGTATTTGACCAAGCGTTGGAGGACACAGGCTTCACATGTGCCATGTAATCCTGAAGCAGCACAGAGCTGGTGTAACAGCTGCATCAGCCAGCTTTACACACTGATGAAAGGCCTGTCATGAGGAATCTGCCACACACACACACACACACACACACACACACACACACACACACAAACACAAACACAAACACAAACACACAAAAAGGCTGGCTGTCGGCATGAGGCAGCACCGGCCTAGCACTGAGGTGAAAAAAATGCAAGAACAGCCTGTGAGCGGAGTGGAGGGATACGTGTGGAAAGGAGAGGGGAGATGGAAAGGTGAAAGGAAAAGAGGAGTGGAAAGAGTGAGACAGCTTGGAGAAGGCAGCGGAGAGGAGGAGACGAGGTGAGGAGAAAAGAGAGAGAGGAGTAGGAGGGTGAGGAGTAAAGAAGAGAAAAAAACTACTCTTGCATGCTGCTAGGCAACAATCTCTGGTCACTGAAGGCTGCTAATATGGCTGACCTGGCTTTACTTGTCTTCCATTTTGGAGAGTGTTCCTCTTCCTCTCTACCTATCCATCCCTCGTCACTGTTTCTCAACTTAAATTTTTCATTACCACCCACCTTTCTACTTACGCTACATCCCCTTTCTCCCCCTTTCCCCCTCATGTCTCTCCCCATTGCATCCTTCTCCTTCTTGCTGCCTCTAAACTTTCCCTCCCCATCTCCCCTCTCTCCCTGCCCACCTCTCTTCACTTGACCTATTTCAGTGTCTCCTCATCTTTTCAGCACATTTCTGCTTTATTAGGCAGCGTGCAGTCGAGGGTGACAGAAGGAGGATGACCCGAAAGGTTGCGGGTTGGATTTTGAACCTGCAACGCTGCGGTGCACCTGAGCCCTCACAGCACCACTGCACCCTGCACTGTATCTCATAAACACTTGGCTGCTCATCTGGCCTTGTGACACATGATTCACATTCTTCACGCCATCCTCCTTTCCCTCTCCTTCTTTTCTGGAGTTTCCACTCTTTGGCTCAGCATTATCATTCACTGGCATGTGTCTTCCTTCCTCCCTCTATACACTCTGCTCTCATATCTACCCCAATTGCCGACTTATCCCCTTTCTCTGTGCATCCATCCTTCTAACTTCGTCTCCCTTTCCCTCTTTGCTCATATAGTCACATCACACACAATGTCACTCTCACTATCTACGCATCCTAATCTGTCTCCATCCTTCCGTTTCCCTATACAGTACAATCCCAAATCCTTCTCTTACACTCTTTTTTTTTACTTTTTCTGTTATTAGAAAGGAGGCCCTGGACCACAGTGACTGTAGGAGTACTAGAGACATTTGTCAATCATGACAATGCTTTAAGTTTTAATGCAGGACTACCGGTATGTATATTTTGCTGTACAGTGGCCTCTGTGGCCACAAGAGGTAATTACAGGTTAACAGGACCTTGAATTTCCCCTCATTTCCTAATATTCCCTTGACTAAGTTTCTTTTAGGACATCATCATTAGTTTACTTACCTTAGAGCAGTACTTCTCAAATATTATCAGGTTCTCAATAGTATCTCAATTCGGGGGGGGCGTGAAAAAATTCTGTCCCCTAGGGGGGGCATAAATAATTGAGAACCACTGCCTTAGAGGGAGTGGACTGGGATCACAAGCATGTAACACAAAAAGTGTGTTTAGATCTTGTTTTACTTGATACAATCACTGAAACCTAATAGCAGTAGCAGAGAAGAGTCATAAAGCGAGTGAACTGACCCAGTAGTGTCAGTGTTGCAGCAGTATCTGTCTAAATTCTAACATTAGCCACCATGCGCTACTGGTTGAGGCCTGTAAGTCCAAAATGGAGGATGCTATCATAGCTTATTAGCTGTGTGTGTTGCACGATCTACTGTTATCAACCTTCCTCCATCGGCAGATTAACTGCTCCACAAAAGAAGGATGTTTTGGTTCCTGTTATGAGACAGGAGTCCGTAGTGCAAATACATCTCTTGAATAAACTGTGTTAATATTGTTCCATTAGCAACCAAGCTAACAGGCTGCCTAAATGACAGTCTAGCTAGCTTGGAGTTAATGGCAATGTACAGAGTAACTAGAAACAAACTCACAGGGCTAATGTGTTAGCATGTTCCTCGCTAGGTAGAATATTACCCATTAGCTCACCAGCTAACTGCCACAGTAGTTCACCAACTAGCCCTCTGAGTGAGCTATCTCCTCCCTGTCACCAAGCTTCTAGCACTGGCTATTTCGCTAACATGTGCCAATGAGTTTTGCTGAGTCACTTTTCGGTCCCTTAAGGCTGTAGCTGCTGTGTTGAATTGAGCAAGGGTTAATTTCTTTTGAATTAAAACTGTTCACTTGTAAAATGAAGATTGTGTAGTTTTATGTTTCAGTTACATAGCTTAACTCTGTCCTCGTTTTCACAGGATTACTGAGACCCTACAGATGTTTAAAAAAAGCTTTTCAACTCATTTCAATACAGTCTGAGTTTTCTTTGATCCAGCATCCACTGTAGTTAGTCATGCATTCAGTCATGCATGCAGAGTACAGAGGAGATTCACCAGTCTCATGACTGTTATTTATGAAAAAAAGGAAGGGTCTTTTTAAGAACTAACATTTATATATGTAGATCTCACATTATGACGTGACCACACAACATTATTTATACACTTTAACACTGTTTGTACAATATATGTGACTGCCACATGTGCCACTCGGTTTATTAATTTACCTGCTTTATGCATTTACTTGGTTTTGGTTTCACAGTACTGATCATGATACACTGCATCATCACTTTTGTGTATTTTCTTCTCAGTGCAGACTGCTGTTTTTACTCATTTAACCTCAGGAGTGGATGGAAATCAGAGTAGGTAATATTAGATTAAAGCCCAATAAAAAAAGCAAGACGTTTGGCAAAGCTTGGTTTTTCCTTTTCTTACTACGGCATGTCAGACGCATTCGAAAATGTATCCTCTCCAGAGCAGAGAGATTTTGAAAAGCACCCATTTTGGGCTGGCACACTAATCTAAGGCTACATTCACACTGCAAGCACTCAATTTTGATTTATTGCTCAGATGGGATTTTTTTTTGTTTGCAAGTTCAGCGTCCATGTGATTTGTGCTGTTAACACAATAAAAAATGAGTCACATATGAGCAAAAAAAATCACATTTGGCATGCAGTCTGAACTTGGCCATAGATAGTGAATATGGTAAACAGTATTCCTGCTAAACATTGGTATGTTAGCATTGTTATTGTAAGCATG